GTTGGCTTCGATTTGGTAGGGAGGCGCGCGGCGACTGCGGGCAGCGGGTTCTTCAGCGCATCGGCGAGTGTCTGAAGAGTCGTGTTGGCAACTTCAGTTGCTAGTACGTATTTCTCCTTTGGCGCAAGAGTCGAGTTCTTCTGCTTAGTGATATCCGCTGTCGCTGTGGCCGTTGCCGTCGCGCCTCTCCGCCGTGCCGTAGCCTGCACTTTGACTCTTATATTCTCCTTTTGTGGTACATCCTCCTCTTTTCCGGACAGTAAGTCCTGGAGCGCGGCTACTGTGGTGTTTGCGCATGTCGTAGTAGACCGCAAGTCTGCCTTGATTCGGTCGATGCGCGCGCGTGTCGTCTCGTCTTTGGTTGCCATTTTCGGCGGCTCGGCAGTTTTATCGTATGCGCAAAGTTTCAAAAGGTCCGTAGATTATACATTATTAAGAAGACGGGTGGGCTGGTAGGTATGGTGTCGTTCAATGTCGTCGCGGACGTCACCCACAGACCGCGCCCAAACATCTCGAAAACACGCTACCGCATCTGGCTAGCGTTGGGCCCCCTCAGCCCTATCTTTGAGAAGGCGCGACCGTTGAGCCGCAATGCATGCGGCTTCCATTTTTATACACGAGCCATTCCAACTCTCACAGTACTCTTGGAGTCTCTACCATCGCCTTTATCGTCTAGGTACAACTTTGTTGCGGACATCCGTCACTGACCTCGACAGACCTTGGCTTCGAGCAACCCGCGCAAGATGCGGCGTGAAGCACACCCGCATTTGGACAACAGCCAATATTATGCGAATCGTTAGGCAGAACATTGGCTCATTTCGCACAGCACATATCTATGTCAAGCGACTATCGTAGGAAGCTAGGCAATGACACTGTCAGCAACGACCTCCAGGCAGCGGTGTGCATACGCTATTGGGAAGTCACGAGGATGCTTCTACACTCCCCTCCCTTGTACGGGTGCCTAGCGTTGTTTTCTCTGTTCTCAAATTCTGATTTGCTAAACCCTTGTGCGTGGCCTTTGCCACCCTTGCGAGGAGGCCAGAGGGGCTTCGCTGTTGGCTCGGCAAGAACCTCAAAAACCACGCCAGGCACCCGTACAAGGGGGGGGAGTGTACGTGTTGGATGCATCAACAAGAGCCCCCTTTGAGCTCTACACAAAGATCCTAGGAGCACAGACTGCAACAGACTTGAAGACCAGTCTCGATACCTATTATGGGCAACGTGTATTGGCTATAGTGACATGTCAACATCTTCACACCGATGGTTGTACAGTTCCAGCCTGTTGGTAGTATTGAACATCCGACCAGTCGGTCGTGGATGAGATAGGGATATACAAATTGAGGTCATGATCGACTTCGCGTAGACGAATGTTTGTTTCCACCCCGGCGGAATCACGCCACAGCAATGCAGACTGTGCGCCGTTGAACTACGTCTTCCTGACTGAACCTTATTCCAACTATATCACTCGACGTTTGATATAGCTGCTGCGCAGAATGTAACAGTGTGGGGAACGAGTTCTCGTCGTTTGTTGGTGGGGCATCTATGGTGATCTCAATTGGTGCTTAGCAACGTTGGAACACTCTCACTCAGACGTACCTCCGTAGCGAGCTCCTGTGACCTCAGCTATCTGACTACATCACCGACGCCTTGGTAGTAACAGGGCGTACCTGTAGCAAATAATGGTGAGCAGACTCTTCTTGAAACCTTGACCGCCTCTCGCTTGCTCTACACCGGCTTAAGTTTGAGTTGTACTCAACGAGAGTTGCTGTACGAGTATGCTTCCCGCGATAAGAGAGAGCCAAGGTCCAAACAAGGGAGTCGCCGGCGATGAAGTGATGCTGCGGTCGATACGAAGAGGAAACCTGTATCTCACTTTCAGCTCCGGACTGCCACGGCGCTGCGTAGTAGAAGGATCGTGCCTAAAGTCACCTTGGCTTGGTCCTTGGTCTTGAAGCCGAGGCCTCTTAGCTAGCCTGGCTCCTCGCTACTCCGCCGTTACATAATGTTAGCAAAACGGTGCTTGTGACCATCGGGTATCGAGTAGTAGCGCCATCGATCTTAGACGGATGACCGATGATAGCGAAAACGACTTGGCTTGTGCGCCTCTGGTGTTCATTCCCTACGGACAGGTAGCAGACATTCATTTCACACTTTCAGATCTAGAGAATTCAGACAACCGGGTCTGCTGCTCGGCAGTGTGCGTAAACGTTAATGATCAGTAAACGACGCCTAGGCGACACGGTCTCTTACACTGTCCTCATATCTGGGTGCATCAGGGCTATAAGCAGGCCACTTGGCGCCATGCCAGATCTTGAGCCACGGCCGTTGTATCTGGATGTTGTTAATGTGGCTTGCAGATACGAGAGATGCCTTTAAAGAGAGATTGGCTGACCGGCTAATGTTGTACTACTTGTTGGAGGCTGGGATTTCTTCGGCTCACCAATCTCTACCAGGCTACGACTATGACCAGACGGAAAATTCAAGTTGTCGTGTCAAGCCTCGTCGCCTTCCATCCAAGGTTCCAAGGTTTCAAGATTTGCTGATGGTTCAACACAGTCAGCTCTTCCGTTCGCGTATCGAAGCCGCGGTCCTGTTCGGCGACGGGCGCGGAGTCGCTTCACAAACTATAATTGCCGTTGATATAGCCTTTATCCCACTACGATTGGTGTGGCAGACGGGACGCGTTGCAGGTTTCCAGGTATCGCGCATCGTTCCACGATGTACTAGGGCCAAAGAGGGAGACGGCCCCGCCGTCGTTCGGCTTGCGGGGTAAACTCAAGTCCTCCTGGTACCTCGCGTGTACCTCAAGCCTCCTTGCCCAGGTGGTCTCGACGCTGGTTATATTAAATGGTACCGGTCCTACGGGCCATCTGGATCGAGCGCGGATGGAGAGTGGAACTCGGTCGTATATCCAAGTACGCTCTCTGCCATCATGCATCTTCTTGGTACGGAGAAGCCAAGTCTGGGGTATTATGAATCGACTCTGTTAGTACCTTTGCAGACCCTGTTGTCAGTACTCAGACGCGCTGCGTAGCATCCCGAGAACCCGTCCAACAATGGAACCCTGCCGTCCTCACCATTTAGACGCCTTGGTAGTGGATGTAGAATGCATCAGCTGTAGACTAGATACGCCACTCATACGATGATGACAGAGCTACTCTGCGCGCAGGTAGCGGTTCATGCGTACGAGCTTCCTGCAGGAACGCTGTTTCACCACCGCAAAACAATTGCACGTGGCGATCGAGTAAGAGATGTGTAAACCTGTCTATCGTCATCCAACAATAGATGATCGTTCCGCGGCACAGCATGACGCCGGAAACTTCTGGAACGCGTCAAGGCGGTCCACGTAACAGCACGCTTGCTTTTCTGACCAACAGGGCGGTACATTTTGGCGCCTCAGAACTGCAAGTTTTGATTGCGGACGAGTATGCATGCGGACGCAACTCAGCGCTTCGACCGCGTCGGCCTGCAAGCCTGGTATTCGGGATGGCGCAAGTAGTTCTCATGTCTCCCGTCGTCCGTGATGGTACGAACCACGGTAGTTGCTGCCCGGTGGTAATCTGGAGGCGGCAGTCAGCATCCGCGCGACTCGTAGGCTCAGCGAACGCATTTTGAATAACGGTGTGTCAAATGAACCCACCGGCATATGCCAGTTCGGCCCGCGCAACGAATACCAAGGGGTGAACATTTCTCCAACAATCAACCCCCTGGCTAACAGCAGCCTGGCGCACATGCGGTTAGCAGCAGTGTGCCTGGCATCGCATCCTCCGCAGTCGCCTAATTGCCCAGCCAGACCCTCCCCCGCAACTGACCACGGCAAAAGCAGACGCCAATGTCGCATTCGACTCAGCGGAGGTTGGACGACTCGTCGAAAAGGAATCCGGACCGCACAAGCTGCGGCGCAGTTGGCAGAGGCGAACGTCTCATCAAAGACCAACCATGGCGTTCGAGCAACAAATTGCGCAAAACTATGCGAATACGCATCAGCACGGCGAGACCGCGGATGGCACCGCTTTGTGGCACTGCAAATCTTTGTCGCATCCGGCCTCGTCGCAGGCATTGCTGACCCTGAAGACCATTCGGAAGTCAGAACAGGGGCGTGCTCCACGTGGTGGCGGCGCATTGTTGTTGTTCTTTTCCGTCCTTTGCCGCTTGAAACTCACACGCGACAGCATTTTTGTCTGTGTCTACCCAGGTACACAGTAAAAGTTACTGTACCCTGACAAGGAGCACCCAGCCTGTCTTCGCTGAAGCAGTGGAGTCGCCCGGCGGGCCCGAGTACGACACGCCTCTCGAGTCGTCTCCCTGTATCAGAGGGGCACCTGAAGCCAATATTGGGCGTCCGCTCGGCTGGCAATACACTCGCTGATTGACAGGGGACGGAAGCTACCTGGACGCAATGGCCCATGTCAAACTTACTCTCATCAACCCTGCAACTGTAGCGTGCTGAGAAGCTTAGCGATCGTCTAGGACCCGTCCACGCCGTCCAACATGCCGCGTCTGGGGCACCTGCATTTCCGTTTGGCCCGGTACAGAAGTCAGTTGGACGATCTCCTTCCTTTCAAGTGTTCGGTCCATATCAGGGCACACTGCTCCACCCAGACTAGTTGTTGGCATCTATTGACATTATCTCCTTATATCCTTCGCACATGCCCTAAGCTGTGGATCTTTCTCGCGGAGAATACCTTTAGTGTTGACACCCCTCTTGTGCATACAACACAGCCAAGCCGCAGCCCACCTGACCTACGCAACTTGTCTGACCGTTCAACAACGTCCTGTCACACGGTAGCCTCCTGATTGGCGTTCGACAGATCGTGGGGTGATCACTGGATCTCACAGGGCACGAGACCGAAATTGCTTCGTTACAGGCGCAATTCGACGTTTTGCTGCTTGCCGACCATGATCTCTTGATGAGCTGAGAACAGAACTACGTCCGGCCATCTTATCGGGCCGCTCCCACTCGCAAACGACGATCTGTTGCAACTATGGCGCCCTACGATATGGCTATTATAACCTCTGCCCTGGAAGACCGTTCTCTCGACAAGCCATACTCCACAGCCTCGGACAGCATGGATCCGCTCAGCTCCGTCTACAGGGCGGGGCTTATTCCCCTCGGCATATTCGCCATGATGAGTTTATTATCAGTTACGGCCTTGCTCGGATTTATCACTCAACGAATGATTTCATGGCGGAGACATTACAGACAATACGTCGGATACAACCAATACGTTATCCTCATCTACAACCTCCTAATCGCGGATCTGCAACAATCAATCGCATTCTCGATATCCTTCCATTGGCTCCGAATCGGCAAGATCGTAGCACCCACTGGCGCATGTTTCCTCCAGGCGTGGTTCCTGCAAATTGGGTAAGCATCATCCTCATAAGACGTATATGTGAGATAGATTCTGACTCTGTACTCCTGTGTCTAGAGATGTCGCCAGCGGTTTCTTCGTCCTCGCAATCGCGATACACACCTGGTTGGGCGTGGTGAAGGGATACAAATTGCCATACTTCTGGTTTGTGGTGTCAATCCTCTCGATCTGGTTCTTCGCATTGATCCTCACGATAATTGGACCTGCGATGTACCAGGAGCGATACTTCGCTCGTGCTGCAGGATGGGTACGCATTCCTCTCTCTGAACCACCTTGTGTCAGAGAACTGATTGGACTAATTCTGATTAGTGCTGGGTGTCCCACAACTACCAAGAGGAAAGGCTTTGGCTACACTACCTCTGGATCTTCATTGTCGAATTCGGCACAATAATCATCTACGCCCATGTCTTCTTCCACCTGCGCGGCCGTATCCGGAGTATCATGGCGAACGACACTAGCAAGCTCACGCGAGCGACCAAGTTTATGGTCATGTACCCTTTCGTATACGTCCTACTTACATTGCCCATCGCCGTGGGCCGCATGGTAGCGATGACCGGTCATCCAATGCCAGATCTTTTCTACATCATCGCTGGCTCGCTCCTCACATCGTGCGGCTGGATCGATGCGCTCTTGTACACCTTGACACGGCGAGTTCTAGTCTCCGGAGACTTGAGCACAGGGCACTACAACAGGACCGTTACGGCGACTCTCACCAACGCGGCACGACCAGGCGACGCCGATCATTACGGCCTACATTCGATGAGCAACAAAGAACCCACTGCCCGTACCGTCACCATAGTAGGTGGCAGCAACAGGCTATCGCGAATAGTCGACCACCGCCGCGGGCGCAGTTACACAACGCGGTCACGACTCGAAGACACGCTACACGAGGACGATAGTCCAACGCGAGCAGGATCACAAGATTCGATAATCAAGAACACACCCACGGGGCACGGCATCAGTATTGTCACAGAGACAAGTGTACAGGTGGAGACCGCTGAGGACAAAGAGTTCGAAGCCGGAAGGCCGCGGTCGAAAGACTGGAACGACGACTACAATCGAAGGTCGTCATGAGAAGGGTATACTCTACATACCCCTGGCCTGGTCCTCAATGAAGTGATCACGTCCGTATGCTCGCAGAAACAACTGCGCTACACACTGACCCCTTTGTCATTACCTTGACTCGATACTACTTGTACACTATCGTTTGTTCAGCACGAAAAGCGTAGGCGTTGGACTGGCGCGACTTCCTGTTTCCTTTGTTTCTAAGCTCTGTTGTACTACACAGTCTACCAAGAGGTAGCATTGAGATACCCGAATACAAATAACAACTACAATTCCAAAAATAACGTGCACTCTCCAACTTCGTCCACCACTCCATAGTGTCTCCGTGTCCGAGAGTGATGTAATATCGCAGTACTGTCTACGCTGTTATAAGACAGTAGTACTACATTCATCACAACCGACCGTCAGCCCTGACTGTACTACCCAGTCTTCACGTAAAACCACAGTCATCAATCCCACACATCCAAACAAAACAAGACCGGTCAATCCAACATCCGTTCCACGTTTCACGTTATCGAAAGTACTAACCTTGCGAAGTTCTTAGCAGATACTCGGAGTGCGGTGCGAGGCTCCTCGCGAAACCTTACGCCTAGTGTATCCCGACGAACGACGGAGTGCTCACCGAAATCCAGGACAGCGTTACGCTAAGCAGTACCGAGGTCCAGATCGATTGAATCGTATCGTATCGTTCGTATCACGGGCGTGCTTCCTGTGTTGCACGAGATGAACGCCGACTTAAAGGGCGCTGAATTTGGCTTTGTAGAGACGAGAATCACTCCAGTCGGGGAGGAAATTGGACATTCGCCTACAGGAATTGCAGAAGTGGATGACCTGAAGCTCTACGTTGCATTGATGATCTGCTATTTTTCGTCGCAGCACTAATCTATCCTACAGACGTCTTTTCAGTTTCATCCTTGATCGGGGTGAGGAAGGGTGTGTCTTGGGAAGTGTTTGCAGTGGTCCGGGTTGTCATGCCGACAAAACAAAGGATACCTAGGTATTATGTCAAGCGAGCGAGAGAAAGCATACTGATCGCTTACCTTACATAACACGTACCATCTATCGCCCAGACGTACAGGATTAAGCTATGCTGGTACGCGTGGTTCATGATGGCGATCGCAATAGCTGGAAATCTGACGGTACGTTGCTTGATGAGATTTCGCATGTAGAGGAGGCGAGACTGGAGGAGTATGTCATAGCGCGCTTCTAGCACTCAGTAAGGATGGCAATGGCAGGCGTTGGCTATAGAAGTGAGCTTTCATGGTGACAATGTTGGGAACATAGTAGGAAACTGAACGGGTGTACCAGTCTACATTCCTACCAAACAGAACGTTCATAAACTGCTGAGGCAATGTAGACCTGTTCGTTATTCTTGATTGACATTACCCCCCATGTGCGTAGATACACGCCCAAGTCGTTCCGTGAACGGTTTGGTCTCGACTGGAGACTGCAGATGGTAGAAGTTGGTGGAGCGACTCGTGCGGCGATTACAGTAGGACTTCACACTTCAACACAAGACACTGCATGTACTGGGATTGGAGGATGATGTTTATTGGCGTGAGGGGTCACTCAAAGCCATTTTGGCACACCACTGTGTCTGCACCATGATATCGCCGGTTTCCATGCGTAAGAAAGTGCAGAAGGAGAATAATCGAGAAGTCCGAGAAACCACGCCGTTAACCATCCGTATCCCATTTTGCCAGCCAATCCACCCGGAGCCACTTCTCCACGTCTAGATGTAGGTCTCGTAAGGTACGGGTGTGATGTTCTCCGGCTTCTGCTCCTTGAGGGAGACAATGTGCTCGGCGCGGGGCTGTGCGGGCTGGCGCTTCATCTGTTGGGGCTCGCCAGTCTCCTTGGCCTTTTGTTGCTTGGCGAAGTTGAGCTTGACGCGCTTGAGGAAGTCCTCTCGTGAGCGGGAGTGGCGGACATGCTCGATGCGGACGTTGATGCGCTTCTCCATGTATCGGTTGCCGACTTGCTTCTGGAGGATGACACCGACGGCGGACTTGGTGACGTTGTAGACGATACCGGTCTTGCCGTGATAGACCTTGTAGGGCATACCCTTCTGGACGGCACCTGTTTTGCATAAGTCCTCCGCTTCAACCGCTTTCGCTGTGGATCTGAGGTTTCGTACCGTTGGCTACGACATCGACAATATCACCGACCTTGTACTGCTTGAGGTAGGTCGAGAGCGGGATCATTCCCTTCTTCTTGAAATCGCGCGAGAAACTGTCGCAGCGTCAGTAATCGTCCGAATGAATAGAGTGCGCCTTGGACTCAGACTGCGGTCTGGTCCTTCGGTCGCATGGGGAGTCGCATGGGGAGTCGCAATCATTCCAACTTACGCATAGCGCGTACCCGCGCGGAGACCGGCTGCGTGACCCATTGTGTGTTTGAAGTTGGGCTGGTGGTTAGTAGCTGAGCTGGTAGAGAACAAAGATGTTCAATATTGGAAGAAACGAGGCAGTGTGCGGTGGTCCGACCGCTTGTCGCGCATTCGACCAATCGGGTGCTCTTGGCAAAGACCCACATACGCCCACCACCGGCTGCCGAATTATGAAAATCATCTGCTCGTTCTCTATCGCAGACTCAACCATCGACAACCACAATGGCGCCTCCCCGATCCTACTCCAAGACGTACAGCGTCCCCCGTCGTCCTTTCGAGTCCGCTCGTCTGTATGTGCAACCCCATGGCCACTGAGCGAGAGCGTGCTCCGCTTATGTCTGGGACACAAGTTAATGTTGGGTTAGGGATACTGAGCTCAAGCTCGTCGGCGAGTATGGTCTCCGCAACAAGCGCGAGGTCTGGCGTGTCCAGTTGACTCTGTCCAAGATCCGTCGTGCCGCTCGGTGAGTGCTCATTGTCCTCGTCTGCGCGCAATTGATGCGCAGTCTGTGAGATGCGAATTCGCTAACATTCCGCAGTTCGCTTCTTACTCTTGACGAGAAGGACCCCAAGCGTCTCTTCGAGGGTAACGCTCTCATTCGCCGTCTCGTACGTGTCGGTGTCCTTGACGAGTCCCGCATGAAGCTCGATTACGTCTTGGCCCTCAAGATTGAGGACTTCTTGGAGCGCCGTCTCCAGACCTGCGTCTACAAGCTCGGTCTCGCCAAGTCCATCCACCACGCCCGTGTCTTGATCCGCCAGCGCCACATCCGGTATGCATTCGCCCACACTCGCTCAAGAAGCGCGCGACTAACAGTATCACAGTGTCGGCAAGCAGATCGTCAACGTCCCCTCCTTCATGGTCCGCCTCGACTCCCAGAAGCACATCGACTTCGCTCTGACCTCGCCATTCGGTGGCGGCCGCCCTGGCCGTGTCAGGAGGAAGAAGGCCAAGGCCGCCGAGAAGGGTGGTGACGAGGACGCCGGCGAGGAGGACGAGGAGTAGACTTGACGCCAAAAGGAATGATTCATGGACGACAGGCGTTAGGCACGATGGGATGAATCTCTTTGATAGTCATCCTGTCCTGGAAAGCACTATATCCCTTGTGGGTCTCGGCTGGTGGATGATCTACATATACTTCACGTAGACACTGCCCAAAAATTTTCAACTGCCATCGTCTGTCTTAGTTCACTTACAATGCCCGTGAGAATGTAAATGATGCTTGTCCACGTACAGTTTGTAGGATCTCACAACACCCTGGAGCCTACATTGATGCTACGTCTTATCATTTACTCGTTGTTGTCCTAGTGTAGGCTGCAGGCCTACTCAGTTCTTTCTTGTATGAGGTGCCAGTCTCACCTCATTCATGGAAAAATCCGAACACTGTGGAGCCTACATCAAGATAAAAACATGCAAAGTAGGTGACCTAACGTTAATGTAGGCTCCCGACCTGTTTAGTTTTCTTCTTGTATGAGGTGGTCTGACTGATGATCTTGCAACGATGTCTGCCCTGTGGCTATGTTGTTGGCAAAGCCCAAGCTATTTGCATAACGTTTGATCAGCTCGCTGCATTTTGTACAAAAATATTGACGATCCTAATACTGCGCGTGTCTTTATCCTACAGCATGCACACATTGCAACTAAGCAATCAACAGGTGTAGATACGTTCTCACAACGCAAGCTTTCGATCAATATGCCTCAATGTACTCTTTCCTATTGAACGATTCTAGTACTCAGAGTCATCAGTATACAACCGCGTCTGCGGACTAGGTCTCTTCCCCTCCAACGACAGCCCAGCCGCAACCCTCTCCTCACCCACCTTGGCCCGCGCCTCCTGCATAATCCACAACCCAGAACTAGTTCCCAGCCTCGTCGCGCCAGCCTCCAGCATCTTGACTGCCGTGTCCAGGTCCCTGACTCCACCACTCGCCTTGACCTCCATCTTCTTCTTGCCTATTTTGGCCGATGCGAGGTACTCTGCCGCGGCTACCATGAGCTGCACGTTGGGCAGGTTAGCGCCCGGTCCGTTGAAGCCAGTAGATGTCTTGATGAAGTCGAAGCTAGCTGCTGCAGCAAGATGAGATGCAGCGAGGATTTGCGCGGAGGTCAATTGCGAAGTTTCGAGGATCAGTTTGAGTGTTGTGGGGGCAGGGCAGAGGCTTCTTATGCTGGCCAATTCTCTGTAAATGGCGCTGTAGTCTGGGATATCGTCTGTGTCTTCCTCGCTAAAGTCGCTGGCTGAGCTGCTTCCGGCATTCTTGGCCGTGTTGGCAGCGGTGATGCTGTCGATTGCTGAGTCACGAGCACGCTCTAACGGTGGAGAATTACGTCGGTTGTGCTTGGTGAGGAGGGAGTAGTTGAGGACGACATCGAGTTCCCTTGCGCCCGCTGCTACGGCGGCACGAGCTTCTTGCAGCTTGTATAACGTGTCTTGAGTTCCTTCGTGGAAGCCTACAACACAAGCTACGAGCACGTCTGTGCCCTTGAGGTTGGAGACACAGCGTTGGACGTAGTTCAGGCGCACACAGACAGACTGGGAATCTCGTCAGCTTGGTTTTCTCGGGGGCGATGAAGTGAAGCACGTGTCCCAGCTCCAAACTCTAAGGGTGCGACTGTGCC